ACACACACACACACACACACACACACACACACACACACACACACACAGTGTAGGTGTCAGTTTACGGTTCATATTTTTTTCGGTGCAGCCATAAAGCTACTGTGGCGCAGGAGCTAATGGAGCCTCTGTGAGGACGGTTACGAGGCCTGACACTTGTTCCTCAGTAATCCTGTCTTATGTCCTCTAGACCTGAGCAGGCAATCAATGTTGTCTTAATGGCACTGGAGTTCCTGGATTCAGAGAGGGAGTAAGGAGGAGGTCTGGCCGTGGTTAATGACGCTTTGAAAGGCAACTAAGGAATGGCCAGGACAATAAACTGGATGTTTACGCTCTCTAAAAGCTAAATGAAACTTCAGACATGGTAAGAAGATCAGATGCATCCTTTCACAGACCTCATAGATATTAGGATATATTCAGATACACTAGAGTAGTGCAGAGGTTTGAAGCTGAGTTTTTGTGTTATTAGTCTGGTTCTGCTCTGGATTGTGTCTTTATTGATCTGTTGTTCTTAAAACAAAAAAATACCAGTCTTGTCCTCAAAATGTCTTTAAATCTGTCTAATAAAGCAAGTTAATCAAATAAGGTAACTGAACCTTAATTACCTCTCCTTGAAATGTATTTTTTGCACGTAGAAGGATAAAGTGCTATTTGGTTTTGTGGAGTGTTAACATTGACAGATTGATATCCTTAACAGAATAGTTCAACATTTTGGGAAAATACGCTTATTCGCTTTCTAGAAGAGTTAGATGTCATTTTAATATTTGTCTGTTAAATTGGAAGCTACAGCCAGTTAGCTTAGCTTAGCATAAAGACTGCAAACGGAGGGAAACAGCTAGCCTGGTTTTGTCCAAAGGGTAAAAAACATCCATTCAACAGCTCTATAAAACTCACAGATTGTATCTTGTTTGTTTAATCTGACTAGTTATTGGCTGAGAGCAGCGACTTCCTGGAGACTCTTTGCTTTGTTTGTGCTGTAACATGACGCAGAATCTGCACCGCTGGCGTAACTCCATTGAGACCCAGATGTGCTACGAGCTCAGATAAGACTATTGGAAGTTTTTTAATTCTCGGATCAGTTTTATGATGCAGATTGTTTCAATGACCCAACTGGGGACTGCACTCAACAGTTGGGAGAGGGAATCAAACTCATAAATTGTTAATCCCAGGGCACATTCTGCAACTAGTTTACTGACCTGGATGAATCTTTGATATTGGAAGGGTTACTCAACAAAAGAGCAGGGCAATTTTACAAGTCACCAAAGGAGACAAGAAATAGCCCAAAGAGACAAGATTTCGAGCTTTTAGGATCAGTTTAGGATTCTTCGTTAACTTATAGACATTCACATAAAAACAAGTGAAGGGAATAAAGGAAATACCACTGGCTCCATTAAGGATAATAGGCCATTAAGGCTCTATCAGTAAAAGCAAGCATATTGAGCCATCAGACAAATTTAGAAAACTCGTTAAAGGGAGACTGCAGTTTTCACGTCAAGTTTTCTCGCACACTAAGAAATAAAAAACATTTTTGAGCAATGATCAGAAATGCAACGGTGTTATTTTTGTATTTACTCCACCTGGAAGGTTTTGTCAAAACCAGGATGTTATGTTTACACACACAACACATAACTGGGAAACTCCAAAAACTGGGAAACTAATGCAAATGTATAAAGAACTTGTTTTGGACAGATAATAAGGAAATAACTTGTTTGTGTTTTTCTCATAACTTGGATTTTTTTCCAACATTTTAAACAGGATATTTTGATTAATAAATTATAGAATTGTCTTAAAAACATACAGAGTTCAGGTAAAAGAAAGACAAACACACTCGTACAAGACAACATTGATAGAAAGCTGTGAGACAACTTGTAATGTAACTTTAAGATGAGCTTTTCAGTGGGGTCATAAAACAATAGGGGGGCTTTTTGTGAGGTCCGGCAAGACTGAAAGAGAGACAAAATCGAACATTCATTAGAGCTTATTACATTTAATTTCTAATACGTAAGCAGGTTTGTATCCATCTAAATTAACTTCACCTTTTGTTCTGTACCACCTGAGATGGACAGCTGGTAGGTTTCATTTCCTTTGAACGTGAGGTGATTCTCGCTTTGGGATGCACGTTGTTCTTCTGTGTGCTTATCTCAGCTGTGGAGCGCTGCAGGAGTTATCTGTTATCTGTAGAAATGAACTCAAGTATAAAGATACAAAGAGAAGAATGGCAGCGAGTTTTTGAGCCTGTTTTATCTCCTTGTTTATTACTATTGCTGTGCTACAATTATTATTACAGTTATCACAACAACAAAACAATGCTAGTAAATATCATGCTGATACAACTACAGTTTAATACAAATGTTGCCTTAAATCCACAATTAAAAACCAGTCCTTGGAAGTACATTTTTCATAATTTCAAGGATAAAATCTGCACATTATAGA